TCCTGCAGCAGGAGGGTCGCTGTTACAGCCGGAGTCTAACTGAACCAGCAGGGCTATTTATAAAAATAAAGATTTGTACCTTAGATGTGAGAAACAGGATGCAGTGCTCTGCGGTCTTGAACCAGCTTTGCTCACTGATATGCAGCTGACTGACCAGATGCAGCTGCTTCACACTGATCACCTGACAAAAATAAAAAGCTTCATATTACTGCTGTTTCTGACTTTGTATCTTTGAGCAGAAATTTAATTTAAACACTTTAAATATTAGAGTCTGAGTGATAAACTACTTTTAGACCGACATTTGGAGATTTTACTTTCAGACACATGAAACATAAACAGATTTTCATTGCATTTGTTATGTGTAGTTATTTATGAGTCCTTGCTAAGATAATATGACAGCAAAGTTACAAAATCATCTTGAGTCTTGGAATATACGTTTACGTTCTACTCGACTTCTGTGATCAGCTGGTTGTTGTTTCCAAACCAGTGCTGCGAACAGGGGAGCTGCAAAATGCCCTCTGATGGATAAACTGTGCAACACCACCAATAACACTGTGTACAGCAGTTTCTCCCATCCATCCATCTTCTTCTGCTTATCCGAGGCCGGGTCATGGGGGCAACAGCCTAAGCAGAGAAGCCCAGACCTCCCTCTCCCCAGCCACCTCCTCCAGCTTGTTGGGGGAACACACAGGCGTTCTCGGCTGGCCTGGGTCTGCCCCGGGGCCTCCTCCCAGTGGGACATCCTAGGAACACCTCACCCAGGAGGCACCCAGGAGGCATCCTTGTCAGATGCCCGAACCACCTCAGCTGGTTCCTTTCGATGTTGAGGAACAGCGGCTCTACTCTGAGCCCCTCCTAGATGCTGAACTTCTCACCCTATCTCTAAGGGCGAGGCCATCCACCCTTTGGAGGAAGCTCAAAAGGGTGGATGTGTCACGGTTCTGGGTCAGTTTGACCCAGTATTTTGAGTTGTCATGTTTTTGCAGGTTTAGTTTAGTTCCATGTGTCATTTTCTGTCTGTCTCTCTATGTCGAGTCTGCGTCTTTGTGTGATGGTTTCTTGTTCCTGTTTTATTGTGAAGGTCTGCGACTCGTGTGTGTGTGTGTGTGTGTTCAGTTTTACCTCTGTCTCGTCTGTGTGTATTTAAGTCGCGTCTTCTGTGTTTGTAGTTGCTGGTCCGTCTGTGTGTCCCCCATGTCTCACCCGTGTGTTCTCCCTGCTGTCTCCTCTGCTCGTTCTCATTCTTGTCCAGGTTTGTGCTCTGTAGTTTAGTTGTTTCCAGTCTAGTTTAGTTCGGGCTCCATTTGCTGTTTGTCCATATTTATTTCGTGTTCAATAAACCACCTTCACTTCTCCACTACTGCCTGCGATTGGATCCTCATTTATTATTTTCACACAGCTCTTCTCACCCGCCGTGACAGGATGGCTGAAGCATCTATTCATTACTTTTAAAAAAATCAATCAGGTTTTGTAAATCTATATATATAGATATAGATAGCTTGTGTGGTTGGGACATATTGGTTGATATACTGGTATAAGTATTACTATGGATGAAATGCTAAGGGGAAAGCTACATTGAGCATGTTGTGTCCTTTAATTCACTTCCTCTTTTGTTAGCCTTGGAGCTCCACAGAGAGCTGACCATAGAGTTGGTATAACAGTCATGTTTCTCACTCTAAAATGAAAGTAAGACCAGGTCAAATCAAAGACACCTCACACACCTTCAGGGCGAGGCAGAGGGTAAACTGGCTCCAGCAGTCTCTGTCTTCGGTCATGTGGATCAGCTGAGCTTCCAGGCGAGCTCTCTGAAGCTCATACAGCTGATGGTAAGCCTGGACCACACTGTAAAGAGCATAATTCACAACACAAAACTCGTTGACCATCCATCATCAGTAAAACAAGGCTCATAACTCAGGATTTAAATGCATCCAGTCGATGTAATGATCTCTGGACTAACTTTGAGTCGGTGCGAGTCTGTTTGAGTGCCTCGGCTAGCTGCCAGTGAGCGTGCTCCGCCTGGTGGGAAACAAAAGCATCGTGGTCCCGGATTTTAGAAAGTTCCCTATGAAGACAACGCAGACACACACATAGCAATGAATACACGCACATTTTCATATCTGCACATCTGTAATCAGCACATTAACATCAAACGTCCGACATATATTATTTGTTCTGGAGCAGCACGTGGTAATATTACTCGTGATCACCCCCCAGTCTGATCGTACGTACACGCTAAGCTGATGAATGGATAACTTGATGTGGTGGATCTCCTCTGTGAGCCGACGATCCAGAGCCCGCTGGGCCACCACCTCGGTGTGCAAAGCCTTCAGGCGCCGCGGGATTCGATCCAGCAGCGACTGGTAGCGCTGTCTGAACAAACACACGGCTGCTGTGACACAGACCCTGCAGAGGTCATTACTGGACCAAGATTTCAGTTTTTACATTTAACTTGAATTATTAACAAAACGCCACTGCAGACTCATGTCTCATTCATATTTTGCTTTTAAGGCTCGTTATGCTTGTGGCCTTTCCTCTGATGTGTGTGCCGCTAACCTGAGTTTGGCAAGCAGCTGTCCTCTCTCGGCACAGCCCACGCTCACCTGCCTGATCAGTTCATGGAAGACAATGTTGTAGATATTTTGCTCAACCTTCACGAGCTCAAGCAGACCCTCCAGCTGGAAGACAAGTCATTGTGCGGCTTCTCACACTCTACACGATCGGATATTCCAAGCAGCACCACAAATTCTGACTTTTCTGTGTTTTATACTCAAATCTCTAAATCTATTACACTTATGATGGCAATGTTAACAAAAGATCAGTCGGCAGCAGGAGGACACAGAAAGATTTAGAACAGAGCAGACATCAGACACGACACCCGAGGTGAAGGTGGGCTGTAAATGTGCAGATTTGCAGCTGCAGGCTGAAGCAACTGAAATATCAATATTTTCCAGGATCGCCTGATATTTTCCGAGGTTTGGTCCATTTTTCCACGTAAAGGCTGCATGACTACATATGTTTCTCTGCCTGCCTACTTGTGAAAGCTCAGCCAGCTCCTCGCTCTGCTCATCCACTCCAGCCTTCTCCAGCATGTCATCCATCATCCCCATCAGCTGGACCGCTTCCAGCCTCCCACTGGGCCTCCTGGACACGAAAACATACAGAAATGTGTAATATTACACATTTAAACGCTCCCTTAACCCTGGTCTTGCCAAGCACCGCCTACTTCATGGCACACAGCAGGACAACTTCTTCTACTACATCACTTAAGGTTAATTATGAATGAGAGGAATTCATATCTGTGAACTCACAGTGAAGGGAGGACCCGCAGCCTCTGCTCTTCATCCCTCAGCTGCACTGTGAATGCACTGTGGAAGAGACGCGTTAAAGTTGTGCTTTAAACACGATCACAGCATCAGACACACGGCGATAATCGACAGACAGACTGAACACAGTGAAGCTCACTCCTCGTAGAACTCGAGGCTCCGTAGTCCTTTATTTTTCACTATGTGAAATTCTTCCGGGATAAAACTGTCGGAGACGCACGAGTTCTGAAAGACAAAGCGGCCGCGATCATCACCTCGCGCCGTGCATGTGTGCACACGCTCACATGGACAGCAGCAAACAGGTATATGCACACACAGAGAAACAGGCGGCTCACCTGCGCGCCACCAACGACCTGCTTTTCACTAACTGGTGGGAGGAGTGTTGTCTTCTTTCTGGTTACCATGGCGTCACACAGGAAAGAAATATCCCTATAAGGACACCATCCATGAAGAAAGGAGTAAATATATGTGGATGAGAAACTGAGCACTAAATACTGACATAATAAAACATCATCAGCTCCACGTTTGTAGGAACCTGACTGACCTGCCAGCTCCTGTCAGGGATGTTGGCTGCTCCAGAAAGTGTTTGTATTTCTTGCGTCCGAGTGGATGATGCCAGACTGCATCAGGGCGTCTGATTCCATAGCTCTAGATACAAAGTCAGTCCAGGTTGTTTTATATCAGCTGTTGTGTGGTCATGTAGACGTAAAAGAGGGTTTGATGCTACCTCGCAGTGTCGGTCGTGTGCAGATTGCCCCGGTGTTCTCCTCTTGCACACAGTGGAGGTTAGACTGAGCAGAAGTTCGTGTGGGACGATCTGCCCTCTGACAGCGGGCTGCGTCTTGGTGCTCTCCACCGGGACCTGAAAATTCAGCTCTGCCACTGAGAAAGATCAAAACCCATCAGAACAGCTTAATAACTCAGACCTGATTTTAGGGGACATTAGGTTTCACTGTTAGATGTCTACGTGCATAATAAAGCTTCTGGATTTTCTTGCATCACGCACAAAGAACAAGGAGACATCAGCTTTCTTTGGCTTTGTCACAAGTTAGGAAAAAAAGTTTAAAACAACAAGTACTGTGCAGAAGTCTTTAGTGACCCCTAATTTCCTGATATTTTGCTGGAAGAATAAGTTCAGTTATTTACTGAAATGTGCAAAAATACATGGAATCACTGTCATGCTGAAAAACGAAGCTGTTGCCAATCAGATCCACACTGTGTCACACGGTGGATCAAACTCTGACAGCACTTTGTTGCATAGATAACTCCATCAGTGTCGACAAGACCAGCGTTTCAGCCAGTACACCATCACCACGAGCTCCACCATGTTTTACAGATGGATGTAGACACTGCTGTGCATCTCCCCTGACCTCCTCTGTACATACTGATGAAGGTTTGAATAAAAAGTTTCAAATCTGAATTCACAAAACTGTCATGTCCTGTGTGCTGCAGGCAGGAGGAACGAAGGAGCCAAAATGCAGACTCAAAGACAGCTTTATTGCAGAACGCTAGGAAAAGCAGGAAAACGCAGCGCTGGACAGAAGAAAGCAAAGGGCTTAAATACACGAGGAGTGACAAGGGAACAGGAAACACAGCTGGGACTAAGATGGGGTGCCTTCAAAGTAAGAGAAGCAAGTAAATCCGTTGGGCATCTTTCTTTGCCTTTAGACAACAATTCTGATGGCAAAAGAGCCAAACGGGACAGGCAAAAAAAGAAAGAAAAAAAAGTAAGAGAAGCAAAACAGAACATGGTGTACACAGACAGGAGACTACCAAAGTAAAACAGGAAGTAATGGGAACACACACAAACACACACAGAGACATGACTGCAGAAAACAGGCAACTAGACAAACATGAAGACAATGCAGCAAATGCTGGGGAGGAAACACGCAGGTGTAACATAGTTAAATAGAGTTGAAGTTAAATCCCGCTAAATGGGACATTGGCGCCACCTACTGTCGAAAAAGTGACCCTGCAATATTCACAAAGGGCAAGGGATTCTGGGTAATCCTCAGAATAATGGAGGATTCCTGCGAGGTAAGGAATGCGCAAATGTCGTGGGGAGGAAAAATCATATCGCAGGCTGTTAAAGTAATACAGTCTGACCCGATTATTTTTGTTGTTTATATATCATTTGTTGCGGGTCATTTCTCCAGTCTTTATGTTGAACTGAGTGCACGTTTATGTGAGATTTCTTTATTGGGAGGAGAGGAAACAAAATGGGAGCATAGTTAGCTAACTCTGTTGTTGCTTTCCCGTTTAGATTTTGTGCTGATTGCCCACGACATTAAAAAGAGAGCATTCTAACCATTGCCTTTTTGTTGTGAATGCAGGTATGTGACTGTGCCACACTGTTTAGAGAATTTACATTGTTTCATGTACAGCTTTAAAATATATTTCTATATTCCTTTCATTTGGGAAATTTAACATGCAATGTTAATGGTGTCGAAGTTTTTCTATTTTGGTTGTATAAATTTACCACTATACGATCACACTGCAAGTGGAAATGTAATCCTCAGAATAATGGAGGATTCCTGCGAGATTTTGTGCTGATTGCCCACGACATTAAAAAGAGAGCATTCTAACCATTGCCTTTTTGTTGTGAATGCAGACCAGAGAAGACACTACACAGAGGTCACATTGGTGCCGTGACTCGTTCGTGACGCTGCTGAATCGGGCTGGTGTCCTCTCGTCGCAGCATCATCGTGGAGCATCAGCTTCCTTATTGTTTAGTCTGTTGGGTAACGGAATCAAACTTTGGGGACTGTTGGACATACTTTTATATTGGCTTTGTATATTGCCATATTGTATTAAGTCCACCTTAGCTCTATTAATATTCTGCTAGATATGGATCTAAGTGACTCTGATGACACCCCAAATGTGACTCCCCTTGTTGTGGGTAGGGGCAGAGGGTTCACAACTGTTCCTTTTTCACTGGGTGACTGTCGGGTGGGGCATAGAGCAGCAGATAGTTCTTGTGAGCTGGTGGCTGAGTCGCAGTCAGTACAGTGCACTAAGTCATCTACCTCAGACCCCCCAATAACTGATGTGAGTCTAGTCGACCAAATGAGCGACATTGTGCAGCAAATTGGGCAACGCCTGGCTGATAGCATTCTGTCACACCTGACTACGCCACACACTTCGAGCCCTGCATCTGCTACATATACATGTCCTGAGGTGGCGCATGAAACAACAGATCTCCCCTCCAGCCACTCACTAGATCTCTCTCAAGTCCAGCTGGTGGCTCCACGACAGGTTAAAGACCCACCTGTGTTTCGGGGGGAGAGTTCGGACTCATTGTCTGTTGATGAGTGGCAGGAAGCCATGCAGAGTTACATAAAGAAGAGTGCCATTCTTCCAGAAAACCAAGCTGAGGAGATTTTGATGCATCTGAGAGGCAGGGCAAAAGATGTTGTGAAATTTGGTGTGAGGAATGGTGGAATTGATGTCCAGCATAATCCACAAGCTATCTACAGACTTCTGCACAAACATTTTAGTTCCACCCAGTGCTCGTCTGTGCCCCTGGCTGACTTTTATTCCACCCTGCCGAAGGACCGAGAGGATCCATATGAGTACTGGCTGAGGCTGAACAAGGCTGCTGATGTTGTTGGCAACTGTCTTAAGGAGCAGGGGAAATCTTTTGAGAACTCTGGTGTGGAGGTTGCACGCATGTTCATCAGACACTGCCCCTGCAGAGACTTGGCTCTTATTTTTAGAACCAAAACATGTGATAAATGGTCAGCTCGTGAAGTTCAGGAGGTACTGGATGAGTATCACCTGGGTAAGGGGTTCCAGTCTCCTCCACAGACGGGTAACTGTGTCTATGTGAATAAGGCAGAGGTTAGCACAAATGGTACTCCTTGTTTGGCTGACCATGAGCAGAGGCCAGCTGTGAGTCAGGATGGCTCTGCTATTGAGAGGTTGATCAGCATGCTAGAGAAGGTGCTGCTTCAAGGCCCAGGCTATGCTCGAGCTAATGCCAGGCGACAGAGTGCCCGACTGCCGAGAATACCGGGCTTAGATGACACACCATGTTCCATCTGCAGAGATAGCTCCCACTCCACACTCACGCACTGTCGGGAAAACAGATTGTGCTTCATGTGTCACCTACCTGGTCATTCGAGACGTAACTGCCCAGAGGGCAAGTGTACTCCTTCCAGTGGTCATCAGGGAAACTGAACGATCTGCGTGGAGGGGAGGACAGCGCAGATCCAGCAAGTAAGCCTCCCATCTTGGATGTGACTGATATTAATGATTATGACACTTTGTATTCTACTTACAGTGGCATTGTCCCGCCAAATAAAACACTGATTGCACAGGGCTTGCATAGGCTCTCAAACACTGATAGTTTATTCTACTCTGCAGTGACTACTAGTGGTGGACAAGTTCTTAAAGCATTAGTGGACAGTGGCTCTATGGCGTGCACCATAAGTGAGACAGTTGATGAGAAACTTTCACAATCGATACCTGATATTGAGAGACGTTCAGCTGAAGATGTTGTCATTGTTGGTTGTGGGGGTCACCTCGTTACGCCTTCTGCTATGTATGATCTTACAGTGTCAATATATGGCTTTAAGGTGGTGATTCCTGTTCTGGTGGTTCCGGGCCAGGCTGATGACATGATTCTGGGCAGCAATGCGATAAAGTGGCTTATTTCACAGTTAAAAATGACTGTTGGTACCCAGGATGATGCTTTCCCTCATTTGGCAACTTTGCTGTCCTATTCTGATGACTGTGGTGGCAGAGCAATGCCTCCAAGTTTCGGCACTGCAAAGCTTAAGAGACGCATCACCTTGCAGCCCTTGTCTGAACATTTAGTGTGGGCTAAGCTGCCTGCTCCTGATGCCTCAGCGGTGGGAAGTGCTGTCATTATTGAACCCACTCAGTCTCGATCCAAACCTGCACAGATCCTAGTGGGGCGAGTTGTCACTTCCTTGTTTGGGGATGGTTGGGTCCCTGTTAAAGTGGTGAATCCCTCCGACAAGCCCCTCACTCTCAGGAGAAATGCTAAGGTTGCTGATGTGTCCCCCTGTCTTTCTGTGCAGGACTTACCTGAACCTGTTCAAATTCGATCCAGTACACAATACACACAGAACTCGTCGCCCGCACCGAGATCAGAAGCGGAGATGTCACAGCGCTTGTGTGATTTGGGCCTGCAGGACCTGGACCTCTCGTCCTGTGAAGTTTCCCCAGAATGGAGAGATAGGCTGCTGCGACTCATTGAGCAGTATGAGTCCATCTTTTCAAGGCACAAAATGGACTGCGGTGAGGCTGCTGACTTTGTCCACAGAATCCGCCTGGTGGATGACAAGCCCTTCAGACTGCCATACAGACGGGTCCCACCATGCCATTACGAGAAGCTTCGCACTGCCCTAGATGAGATGGAGGAGTCAGGGATAATCCGTAAGTCCCAGAGTGAATTCTCATCCCCCCTTGTCTTAGTTGTTAAGCCAAATGGTGACCTGCGCATATGCAATGACTTTAGATGGTTAAATGCAAGAACAGTTAAAGATGCACATCCATTGCCTCATCAGTCAGACGCCCTCGCAGCACTTGGTGGGAATGTTTTTTTTTCTACAATGGATCTCACATCGGGGTTTTACAATGTCAGACTCCACGAGGACGACAAAAAATACACGGCATTCTCCTCCCATTTGGCCTTCATGAATATAACAGGATGCCTCAAGGCCTGACAAATAGTCCTGCTACTTTTATGCGGATGATGATGTCCATTTTTGGTGATGAGAACTTCACAAGTTTGTTGTGTTATCTGGATGACCTTATGGTCTATGCCCCATCCGAACAGGTGGCTCTTGAACGTCTGCAGATGGTTTTCTCACGACTTTCTGCCAACAACCTGAAGCTCGCACCAAAGGAATGCCACTTTCTTCAGCGGTCTGTGAAGTTCCTGGGACACATCATATGTGGTGAGGGTGTGAAAACAGACCCAAGTAAAGTGCAGGCTATAGACAATGTGGAGGAAGCAGACCTGATGGAGTCTGACGGGGTGACACCATGTGCAAGGAAAATCAGATCCTTCCTGGGGATGGTTCTCTACTACCATCATTTTATCGAGCGGTGCTCTGCAAAAGCTAAGCCACTGTTTGATCTTGTGGCTGAACCAGCTGCGCTACGCAAGAGAGGTAGAGGCCGTAAGCCTAAATTTAAAAGGGGCCACGTGAAGCTGTCTCCGGCTGACTGGACTGATGAGTGCAGGGAAGCATTCAAGGCCCTAAAACATGAACTTGTGCATAGTGTCACATTAGCCCATCCAGATTTTACTGCGCCCTTTCTCCTTGCAGTTGATGCTTCCTTTGACGGCCTTGGAGCCGTCCTCTCACAGTTGCCCCCTGATGGTAGCATCGCCAGACCAGTGGCATTCGCCAGTAAGACCCTGTCACACTCTCAGCTAAACTATCCAGCGCATCGTTTGGAGTTTCTTGCTCTGAAATGGGCAGTCTGTGACAAGTTTAGCCATTGGCTGAAAGGGAGCCACTTCACAGTGTGGACAGACAATAACCCGCTGACATACATCTTAACCAAGCCTAGGTTAGATGCATGTGAGCAACGATGGGTTTCAAAGCTTGCAGCATACAGTTTTGAACTGAAGTATGTCCCTGGCACCAAAAATGTTGTCGCGGATGCATTGAGTAGAGAGCCATTTGTCCAGTCGTGCATAGGCCACAGGCTAGTCACTGAACCTTATGCTGCCCTATTGAACCAAATGCACGGTCTGGTGGATGGGACTGTGCAGGATATGTTTCGGTGTGCTGCAAACTGCCAGTTGGTTGTGGATCAGTCTGAGGAAGGAGTTACAACTATCCTAGCTAACCCTCAAGGTTCTCTCTCGTCACAGGATGTTTCTGCTGTGTTGGCTGCACATGACACTGGTGGTATCAGCCATGTGAGAGGTGTGGGATCTGATATCCCTCAGGTCCCAACTATTGCCCGTCCAGCCTGTACGCCGAGAAGTGAACTCGCTAACCTGCAGGAACAAGATGAGGTTTTGGGCAGAGTTTTCTTTTATGTCCGGCGTCACAAGAGGCCCACCAGGCATGAACGTGCTAGCGAGTCCCGTGGTGTAATGAAATTACTCAGACATTGGTCCAGACTCTTGATTAAAGATGGTATGTTGTATAAGGTGAAGAAAGACAGGAACATGAACGTGACGATTTACCAGTTTGTTGTCCCAGACACTCTGAAGACTGAAGTTCTCCGAGGCATCCATGATACGGCGGGTCATCAGGGCCAAGTCCGCACCCTGTCTCTTGCAAGGCAGAGATTCTTTTGGACAGGGATGGAGCGTGACATCATCAATCATGTGAAAGGCTGTTTTCGTTGTGTGGTTGGGAAAACCCCAGAGCCGAATGACCGTGCCACACTGGAGAGCATTTGTACCACTGAACCGATGGAGCTAGTCTGCATCGACTTCTGGACTGCTGAACAGACTGACAAGAAGTGCGTTGATGTTTTGGTTGTCACAGACCATTTTTCCAAATTAGCGCATGCATTCCCTTGTAAGAATCAGTCTGCCAAGCAGGTTGCTCGCCGCCTGTGGAATGACTTTTTCTGTGTGTACGGCTTTCCCAGACGTATACACTCTGATCAAGGAGCCAACTTTGAGAGTCAACTCATTAAGGAGCTCCTGGACATGGCTGGCATCCAGAAATCACACACCACTCCTTACCACCCGATGGGGAATGGTATTGTCGAGCGATACAACAGGACCTTGGGAAATATGATACGGGCTTTGCCCCCTCAATCCAAAGCCAGGTGGCCGCAAATGCTTCAGATGTTGACGTTCTGCTACAATTGCACTGAACATGAAACAACAGGTTTCGCACCTTTTTTTCTCGTATTTGGGAGAATTCCTCGTCTGCCTGTTGATGTTGTTTTCCAGCATGTTCTCCCTGATGGTGCCGTTGTTGACCACGGTGAATTTGTCGCCCATTTGAAGCGTGACCTGTCTGAGGCTGCCCGCATTGCCAGGCAGAACAGCCGTATTGCCCAGGCTCGCCAGGCGAGGAATTATGACCGCAAGGCTAAGGGTGCGCCCCTCTCAGTCGGTGACAGAGTCTTGCTTGCTAATCGTGGTGAGAGAGGAAAGAGGAAGATCGCTGACAAATGGGAATCCACAGTTTTTGAGGTGGCGTCTGTGAAACCTGACATCAATGTGTACCACATCAGAGACCCTGTGACTCTCAGGGAAAAAGTTGTTCACCGAAACCTACTACTTCCTGTGAGTTTCATTCCTGCAGGAAACGAGTGCATACCAGTGTCAACCTGCCCCTCGGTTGCGGATAGTGGACAAGGTGAACCAGAACTTCCAGGTGATGTGCAGGATGGTGAGACGAAGACGGTTCGCTGGCTCATGCAGATGGACCAAGCAAGTGACAGGGACTCTGCGGTTGGTCAACCTGGTTGTTCTCTTGGTGCGGCTTTCAGCGTCCCAACCTCTGAGGCAGAATCGACTGTGACCCCGCCTGCTGTGTGTGACCCGTTGGTTTCCCGGTTGCCCTCCCCTGCCCCCTCTATTGAATCTGTTGTGTCCTGGAGTGCCTCCTCGCAGCTTCTGGCGGGAGATGCTGCACATGTCCTTTCCCCTGAGCTTGTGACTGACACACGACTGAGTACAGGGGACCGTGTAGTGCGTACACAGCCACCACCTCTTTGTACTAGATCAGGTAGACCTGTGAAACCTCCAACACGTCTCATTTGTGAGATCAATGAACAACAGGTTGATGATTCAGTGTCGACAGTTGACTCCTTGTTTTCATTTGTGCGAAATATGTTTTCAGGATAGATTACTAGCCGTTTTGCAAATGTGCTGTTACTCAGAACGTTTTGGGTAATACCTGCGTGGAGCAATGTTCACATCATGGGAGGTGTATACGGCATCTTTCATATCTGGGTTGGCAGGGGAATTGGCCGCTCTCTTGCTTGCCTTATTCCATATGGAAAGTTTTTTTAACTGACTTGAACTATCTTGTGCTCCCACGGTCACACTGTTATGTTTTATGCATTGGAAGTTTCTGTTTTTCTGTTGTCATGCCCCAATTTAGCAGGATTTAAGGGGGGTGTGTGTAACATAGTTAAATAGAGTTGAAGTTAAATCCCGCTAAATGGGACATTGGCGCCACCTACTGTCGAAAAAGTGACCCTGCAATATTCACAAAGGGCAAGGGATTCTGGGTAATCCTCAGAATAATGGAGGATTCCTGCGAGGTAAGGAATGCGCAAATGTCGTGGGGAGGAAAAATCATATCGCAGGCTGTTAAAGTAATACAGTCTGACCCGATTATTTTTGTTGTTTATATATCATTTGTTGCGGGTCATTTCTCCAGTCTTTATGTTGAACTGAGTGCACGTTTATGTGAGATTTCTTTATTGGGAGGAGAGGAAACAAAATGGGAGCATAGTTAGCTAACTCTGTTGTTGCTTTCCCGTTTAGATTTTGTGCTGATTGCCCACGACATTAAAAAGAGAGCATTCTAACCATTGCCTTTTTGTTGTGAATGCAGGTATGTGACTGTGCCACACTGTTTAGAGAATTTACATTGTTTCATGTACAGCTTTAAAATATATTTCTATATTCCTTTCAATTGGGAAATTTAACATGCAATGTTAATGGTGTCGAAGTTTTTCTATTTTGGTTGTATAAATTTACCACTATACGATCACACTGCAAGTGGAAATGTAATCCTCAGAATAATGGAGGATTCCTGCGAGATTTTGTGCTGATTGCCCACGACATTAAAAAGAGAGCATTCTAACCATTGCCTTTTTGTTGTGAATGCAGACCAGAGAAGACACTACACAGAGGTCACACAGGGGTAAGACGAGACCAAACATGAACAGGACCAAATACTCAGACAAGCAAAACTAGAAGCACTAAATAAAGTTAGAAGTATAAGCAGACGAAACTAGGAAATAAAAGACACACAGAGAACACGATGAAATAAAGAAGAATAAAAGGACCAAAAACACAAAACACTCCTTTAGATCTTCTCCACTGATTTTCTCTCCACTATTTTGGCCTCAGCCATTTGTTGACATCCACCCTTCCATCCATATTCCTCGTGTTCAATACAGACCTTCAAAAAGCTTGGAGAACTATCGCTCAATTCCACCTTAAATAATTACAAGAAAGTCTGGCTCTTTGGTAGCAAAATATAAAGAAGCAAGGAGTGACTGAAGCCTTTTGCACAGTACGCATCAACTACCTGTACTTTAATCCTGCACAGTGTGTGATCAAAGCCATTTATTTAATGTCGTCAGACAGAATTTGCAAAAAAACTAACAAGTTGAATTTTATGAAACTTGGTAATAAATGCATGGACGAGGGAAGGGCTCATTAAATGTTGTGCACATCTGCACTGTTATAGTTATACTGGGAGAGAAGAGCCTTTAGGGAACATAACTGGTCCTGAGTCTGTGTCCCAGTGTTTTGTGTTGAATTATAAATAGTCTTTGATTTCATTATTATTTATCATTTTCAGTGTCTTGGTTTCTGCGTCTGTGCTCTTCTTGTGCTCCATGTTCCCCGTGTCTCCCCAGTCAGTCAAGTCCGTGTCTTTGTGAGTGCGTCCTGCTTCCTGTTTTACTTTGACAGTCTCGTGTGCTGTGTTAGCTGCTGTGCTGTGTCT